TATCGAGTTTTCAAAATATATTGCAATATACCGATATACCGGTATATCGTTACACCCCTAGTACACAGGCCCTTGGAGGCTCAAGTTTCGAAAAAGTATAAGTCTATATTAAGAGCGAAGCGGTTACACTACACCTTGAGCCTTACACGCACAACCTTACACTACCTTCCGCTTCGCTCTTAATATAGACTTATACTTTTTCGAAACTTGAGCCTCCAAGGGCCTGTGGTCTGTAATTGTAAAATCAGTAGGGGCCTAAATATTAGTCTTAGAGACAGAGAACTAATTAAATTGTTGTTGTCGTTGTTGACGATATGACTGCACTGCACAGCTATCAATTGCATTAACCTTGACTTATTATTCGACAGAGTTCCTTGGAGTTGTCCAGTTTCGGGCGAGCGTCCAAACTCTACGGGACAACAAAACTAAATTTGCGCAAAGGGTGAGGCCATTTGCATTGTCGTGCGCGCCATCTAACGAGCGCTTAAATAATAATTCGCGCGAACCAGACCGATCTGAGATTACCCCAATCTCAATTTACCCGACTATGGGCAACCGGGTTAAGATGTAATTTGCGCGAACAATTCCAGACCGGTCTGAGATTACCCCAGTCTGAATTTACCCGCATACTGCCAGACTAATCTCAGACCAGCGCATATAAATCAACAGTTGCTCAGACTGTGGCCGCGGACGTCTCATTATCCCGCGCTACTGCGCATGCGTCACGCATGCGCACGAGGTGCTGGGTGTAATTTCAGAAGTAAATCATATCGCAGACCGTGACAACGGCATAGCTCGAGCAGAGGCATATATTGTAGATTCTAAACTTTGCTAACAGGTCTCCTATTTCGATGACCAGAGTGCCAACAAATGTGCTTATCATACTTCTATCATTTCTTAATTTATTTAGCCGCACAATTTATTTGTGTGTGTGTGTGTGTTATCTACGGCGCAGAGGCGCCGGAAGTGGGGGGAGAGGGGCAGGGGGGCGGCCGCCCAATCCAAAAAGTGGGGGGGGGGGCAAAACCAAAAAGCCCCCACTCCAAAAAAAAGAAGAGTGGGAAAGAAAAAAGAAAATGTATGAGCTAAGACTTGTTAATTCTAACGTTTAAAAAACTAATTTATACATCCATTTTAAGTTTTCGCTGCGCGCTTTGCGTGATTGACGCTCACGTCGCACACACGAGCTCATGCACACACGCCGCACATACGCGCTCATGCACACACGTCGTACATACGCGCTCACGCACCCACGTCGAACACACGCGCTCACGCACACACGCCGCACACACGCGCTCACGCACACACGTCACACACATGCGCTCACGCACACACGCGCTCACGAACACACGTCGCACACGCACACACGTCGCATACACGCGCTCATGCACACACATCACACACACGCGCTCAGCACACACATCGCACACACGTCGCACACGCATACACGCGCTCAGCACACATGCGCTCACGCACACACGCGCTCACGCACACACGTCGCACACGCACACACGTCGCATACACGCGCTCACGCACACACATCACACACACGCGCTCAGCACACACATCGCACACACGT